ATTATGACAATTGTCACTAAATCTTAACTGAAATTTTAATTTAACATATTTACAATCTATATTTTTACCCATTATAGCGTCAAAAATAAACTATGTTTTAAAATACAGATTATGATATTTGTCATTTTTACAAAGGAGCATCATCATTGAATTTATAGTTAAACATATTTATAATATAAATTATATTTTTACCCTTAGTACCAAAAATTTCAAAAATGTTAAAAAATAACATGACAATTGTCACATTAAAATATTATAAATAACATAAAAATTTAATACAAATATTTATAAATTATTTAAACTAGTTCTTTTAATATACTAAAAAAAATAGATAATTTTACAAAAATGATAAAAATAAACCTATAAAAGATTTCAACTAAAAGATTAATAATTCACAAAAAAATTAATTAAAAAAGAAGATTTTAAATTCTTATCAATTCAAATTTTGCTTAAAATTTTTGCATGAAAACCACAAATTAATTGTAACAAAAATAATATTATACAATACCTAATCGAAATATTCGTCCTCTAGTCGACAAGTTCACGACTCAAATGGAAAACTCATGTTCTCGACTCAAATCGACTTGAGTGCATGACTCGAGTTGACTGGAGTTCACGACTTGAGTCGGCTTGAGTTCACGACTTGAGTCGACTTGAATTCACGACTTGAGTCGACTTGAGTTCACGACTTGAGTTCTCGACTCGAGTTCACGACTTCAGTGAGTCGATTAATTCGACTAACGACTCAGACTCTGAGTCAGAGTCGGGTGAACTCGAATTTTTAACAACACTACCTCCGGCCTTACCCGTAGTGGCTGATATGCATTGGAGAAATCAACTTTTGAAAAATAAATACTTCCTTTCAAACCAGTCAGTGTTTCTTCAATTCTCGGCAAGGGATTTAACCTCCACAACCCACGGATTAACGGTAACTCGAAAATCTGCGCATAAACGAAGTTTTCCATTGTCCATCTTCACAGGCACTAACGGGGTCGCCCATTCACTGTATTCCACAGTACTTACAATATCTTTCCTTACCCATTGATCCAACTCCAATTCCACTTCCTTTCTCCTTTCATACGGTATTCTTCGTAACGCACAGAACTATGGAACACAGCTATCCTTTAACTTAATGTCTACTTCATAATCTCTGAGGCATCCTAAGTCTTCGTTGAAAATTTCCTGATAACTTTGTACTAATCTCCGAACTCCTACCTGCACTTGGGTCATAGCCAATTTTCTTCCTCCTTCTTTATCGTTTATCAGCTCTTTTTCACAGTACAATGTCCTGTCCTTCATTATTTCCCTATTTTCTGATGTCTTCTCCTACATCACTTTTTGCTTTTCTTGCTGCCGTCCTACCTCTTTTTTTCCCAATTCCTCTTCCCTCCTCCTTTCTCTTAATATCATGACCCTCCTTAACAGGTCCAACTTGCTCCGGGTAATTTTTATATATCTTCTCTTTAACTTTATTCTCCTTTTCTCTCCTAGAATTTCTTTCCCCTACTTCATTCCTATAATTCTGGTTCCGCTCCTTAAATTATCGCTCTTGTTTCGCTCCTAGAATTGTTTCTCCTTATTTCGCTTCTTAAATTATCGCTCCTGGTTTCGCTCCTTAATTTATCGCTCCTTGAATTATGTCGATTTGCTTCGCTCCTTGTTTCGCTCCTTGAATTATTTTCCCTAGTTTCCTCATTAAACGTGGTCTCAATACCCGGCAACACATTCTCTCTCAATGTCATAACAGCATATTCCTCACTCGTTATTGGTACGAATATTCCCCACCATAAAAAACTCACCAAAAACTATACCGTGGACCAATCCTAGTTATCCAATCCCATCCCAACACCGCTTCTATATTCCGATTGATAACCCATAAATCTAATACTTCAATTCTTTCTTCCAATGCTGTTATAATCTCCACCTTACCCATCGCAGGCAACAGGGTCCCATCGAATTGTCTTATTCTTAACCCCTCATTCTCTATTATTTCCCAGGGCCAAATACTCTGATATCCCTTATATCCAATTACAGAAATGGCTGCTCCAGTATCAAACAACATGAGCACCATTCTTCTACCAAAATTTATCATCACTCTCAGACAAGGATCATGTACTAGACCCTCTTGTAACATATTTACACATCCCTCTTTTTTGTTTTTTTCTGATTAAACTCCTCCTTTGTCCCTTTCAACCGCTGCACCCCGACCTGTCTTATTTTTCGCCATCATATAGTCACAAATTTTTACAGTCCATCCCACATGTCCCTCCTTTCGGCACCGAAGACATTCCATATTTCTCTCCTCCCCTTTCTTGATATTTACTGCCCACATTCCTTCCACTTTCTCCTCCGCAATCGTCCTCACATTCGAGGCATTGGGACCCATTTCTCTCTGGGGAAAACCGCTTTTATTGTTGTAATTGCTCTTATTGCACTCCTCTTTATTATGCCCAAATCGACCACAACCCGCACATCTTAATCTCTCTTGCTTACCTGGACAATAAGGGGCTATATGTCCCAACCTTCCATACCCAATCTCGACAATCCCTGAGCATATGACCTGGTTTACCACAATTATAACAACTCATTGTTCCTTTTTCTATGGCACAAAACTTTGTCTTATCTCCAATCTTCTTCCTCGAGAATTTGCTCTGCGCTCCCTATACGGTCTCAAATCTTGATTATTTTCAAAATTTTGTTTATCAGGACCATATAAATTTCTACTTACATCACCATCCGTCCACCCCTTAATTAACTCCTAAACAGGTAACCAAGTTACTTTACCTATCATATCCTCCTCCTCATTATGTCCCTCAATAGTCAATGATTGTCCCTTTATCCTTACGTTGCGACTCCTCCGGATTCTCCTGCCCCAAACTAGACTACATACCCATATTAATAGTATAACCAGCGCTCCAAAAATATTATATTGTATCTCCCAGTATTTCATAAATTTTAAACTCTTCATTCCGGCGTTATAAAAAATTTATGATTAATTTCAAGATAAAAATCTTGGTTATTTGCAGTGTCAACAAGTAAGATATTATAAGTAACGTAAATAAGCCAATGATGTACACTTACTAGGTTATTATTTGACAAATCAGCGTAAAATTTTTTTGTAACAGATTTATAATCGTAAATATTTGGGGCACTTCTGTGTAACTGGCTTATTTAGTAAAAATTTGAGCAAATTTCTAACAGGCTTATATTCGCAAAAATTTGAACAGCACTTCCGTGTAACTGGCTTATTTAGTAACATTTGAGCGAATTTCTATCAGGTTTATATTTGCAAAAATTTGGGCAGCACTTCTGAACTGACCTTTTTAATAAAAATTTGGGCGATTTCGTCCAATAGGTTTGTACAAGCAAATATTTTGGCACCACTTCCGTGTTACTGGACCCTATTTGTGTACTAAATTCCTCGAATTTGCTCTGATGCAAACATGCCCTTATGACCTTTCGAATAATCTTCCATTTGCTCTGATGCAAACCTGCACTTATGGCCTTTCAATTAATTCTTCTATTTGCTCTGATGCAAACCTGCCCTTATGGCCTTTCAATTAATCCCTAGAATTTGCTCTGATGCGAACCTGGCCTTATGGCCTTTCAATTAATTCTTCTATTTGCTCTGATGCAAATCTACCCTTATGGCCTTTCAATTAATTCTTCTATTTGCTCTGATGCAAACCTGCCCTTATGGCCTTTCAATTAATCCCTGTATCACAAACTTGATTGCAACGCGAGAATCGAAGAACAGTCTTGGCCAGCAATGTAATGGTTATACCAAGGATCTTCTATTTATTTTTAAATTGTTATTTCCAAAAATTATTAATTATATATATTTAATTTAATTTTTAATCAAATAATGTTTTTATCTTAATGAAGGATTTACAGAGAATAAATTCTTTTTACTTTTCTTTCAACTTCTTATTTTTTTCCAAAAAATTTTTCCCAAGAGAAATCAATCTGAAAAAAATGACAACTGTTTTTATTTCCTTTTTTTATCTATATATACACCTACAATGAAAAATATATAATAATTTTTTTACAATATATTAAAAGAATGAATGCGCACAAAAAAAATCAAAAAAAAATATTAATCACAAATAAAAATAAAAAGAATGAATGCGCAAAAAAAATCAAAAAATACTTATCACAAATAAAATGCTTATATAATAAACGACCCCACGCTATACCTAAAACACGATACACATAACAGTTTTGTACTTAGAATTTTAAATATAAATATGTTACTGTCCAACCCTGGGTGAAAGTGCTATAAATGAAAACGCTCGATTTAACGGAGGGCAATGCACATGATAGAGGATAAAGGAGAAAAGTGATTAGAAGGGTAGGTGGCTTACTCGGATAAACCTGAAAAAGGATCCCTAAACGACGAATAAAGTAATTAATTGAAATGTTTAATACAAGGGAAAATTAAGATTTTTATGTAATATAAATAGTTAGCTTAATTAAGTCATAAATATGTTTAGATTCTAGGAAATGCACCACATTATCCACCTACCTATTTATGCAAAATGTCATTTTAAGCTTTCTACTCATTTTGACATAAATGGGAAAAATATGACATATTTTTAATAGGAATGATACTTTTGTAAGATTTTAGCCATAAGACAAATTTTTAAGGTGCGATAACTTTTGGGCGAATGCTTGTTCCACTACACTATTAATACAAATATAAGGGAGTTAACTATCTATTTATAAAAAAAATTAAGATAAAAGGCAGTTTTCTTATGGCCATTTATGGGTTTTTTTATTACCCTGATTTTCACTATATTATTATATAATAAATTTATAGCTAAAATATTTTTTGAGATATTTAAAATTAAATGGGGCACTTAAATTGTATACTATCTAATACAAATTTTTTAAAATAATAGAAGGGGAGTTGGATCTTTATTCAGCATATAATACCACTATTATTATAATTGTGATAATCGAATCGCTTCATTTTATTTTTTTAAAATTTAACAAATTTTATACAAAAATAAATAAGGGTCGTAAAAAATCAATGAGTGTGTATACATTATATAAAACTGGCACAAAAGGTTCAAAAAATTGATTATAACACGATTTTGTGAAATTATGTACAGCCATAAAAAAAAATTAACAAAAAATATAAATATTACAGTAACATAACAACACGTGTATGATTTCATATAAATTATAAAAAGTTATACATAAAAGACAATACGCTAAAATTTAAAGATTTATATAAGATTATAAAACAGTTTATTTATTTAATATGTCACTTGCAAAGAATAAAATTATAATCCAAAATTTATAACCAAGAGTGTGCTAGGTCGGTGATTGAAAGCCAAATAATATACAATTATATAATTAGAAAATATGATAAAGATAATTAATTATTGTAAAATTAATCGAAAATTTTAGAGCACGATAAAATGAAAAATATATAATTATCATATCTAGTATTCATCCCGATAAAAAATAGGGATCTTTTGTATTATATGTGTTTAAAAATAGTAAAATTTAAATATAAGCGCTATCGTAAGCAAATAATGTATTTGGTTATTTTTGGATTTTAAGGGGATAACTAATTCCTAATACTCGTGAATTAATTATCTTCCGAGGAGTTTTCTTCAGAAACCCTCATACTAAAGGCCGGATTGTAATATGCTAATGCACTTTTAATGGTACGGTCTTCAATCTTATGACTTGAATGATTGCCGTGTTCGGGATAATTAACATGATTGGCATAGTGATTGACATGATGATAATAATTGCCTTCTTCGACACCAGAAGAGTGTAATATATGATCATATGGAGAAGAATGAGAAACTCCGCCGGTATAATTACTCGATAATGGGTGCCGATCCTAATTTAAAAAAAATATGGAATTCGTATAAAAATTTAAATATTAAGCATCAGTGTGTTAATTTTTCAACTTTAAATCATTTTTTATGCGCGTTTTTTTAAATTTAATCTGATATAATCGTAAATGCAGGCATGTTTAGAATACCTACCTTATGAATTTCAGATTATTTTGCTGTTAACTTTAGTATAGATAAAAAATTCCTAGAAGTCAAAGTAGGCTTCTAAACATACCACCAAAATATATTTCCGGTAAAATCAGATTTTTAAATAGAAAAACGAGGTCAAAAAATAATTTAAGATTGAAAACATAATACATTAACTGAAAAAACATATTGACGCTAACATATTCTATATAATAATATATTTTTTTGTCATATATCCTCACTTCAGTGAACTAAAAAAGTCTCCAATGGGAGGGTTTTTTCGCCCGTCCATTCTTCGGGCGGGCGTGGGGGTTTCTAAAAAAAATTTAAACATTGGGCGGATGGCGGGTGTGTTAAAAAATATTTATAAAAAATGAGCGGATGGATTAAAATATTTATCGGGCGAAATGAGCAGAATGTAATTAAAAATTCAATAAAATAAATGAATAACCAAACCAGCCATTAAAATAATTTTTAAACATTGGGCAGGCGGCTTAAACAAGCTTTTTAAATAAATGGACGGACGAGCAAATTTAAAAATGGGTGGGTGAATGAAAAATATTTTCAGGCTAAAACCAGCCCATTACAGATCTCTAGTCTAGATATTTTGAACTATTTTTTAAAGGAGAAAATTAGGTCTATACTATATAACAAATTTATTGACGGAAATAAAATTTGACACACACTGAGTTAGAGGTACGCAGTGCCCTGTCTGATGACCGGGTAACGGCTAAAAAAATTATCTGGGCCGGGCAAAAAAATATTGAGATATTGATTCTGATGTTTGATAGAAGTGATAATCCATAATTTTAATTAAACCACTCCCCAGGCCTGGCCCAAGCAAACGCTAAATTCTAACATGGCCGGAAAATTTTACCATTTGCAGACCTCTACCCTGAATATGATTGTATATCCATATATTATTTTTTAAGAAAAGTATTTAACTCATTTCTTTTGATAAATAAAAAAAATGTTGGATTAAAGGAATCTGTTGTAATCACAAAATATTTAGTGTTGGTTTGAACTTGAATTTTTAATCGTTGACTTTAATAAAAAATAAAATATATTAACTTATAGAGAGAATAAGTGAGGTTCCCCCGAACTCCAATTTAGATAGGGTGCTTTTTTAGAATCAAATTAATTTGTAGTTTTTTTAAAACATATATATAAAATAAACTCTAATTTATAACTAGATTTTTTAAAAAGGTACAAGAATGATTAGGAGTCCATGCGGATATCAAACTTCAAAAAACCGTTATAACAAGGGTTGTCAGATACTTTCAGATAAAAAGTGGGAGAATTTAGCCAAAATTCAAAAAATTATTTATTATTTTATTATAAAAATCAATTACATAAAATAAATTATTCATATTTTTTAGATTTTACATTTTTAATTAAATTGTTAATTTTTGTTTTAATTCCGCCCAAGTATGGACAATGCCCTTCGATTTCTCCAAGTTATATCTTTGCTTGAAACCAGGGATGCAAACCCAAAATTTTAGCCGGGTTTCGTTTGATTTAAGTTTTAAAAAAATTAAGTGGGTTCAGTTCGAGTTCGGTACAAGGGAATATTTTTGAACCCGGGTTTGGCTACGGGTTCAAGGAATATTTGAATTGATAAAAAAAATCTATTAAATTATAATTAAAAAACAAAACATAAATTTAGTATGAAAAATAAAATTTAACATAATATCTTCCAAGAGTTGTTTGCCCATCCACGATCTTTGCAGTGAAAGAATGAATTTTAATGTGGAAAAGATCTTTCAACGCTAAACTCTATTAAATATATTTATATGGAAATATGATAAATTAACTTGGGTTTTAAAATCGCTTATGAATAATTATCGTTCCAATACTTTTCTAACTTCGAAAATACATATAAAAAAATCCTTAACTCTGTGGATAATTTATCCTGCTCTATTGCCGAGTGCGAAAGGGGTTTTCATCCTATGATTTTGACCATGGTAGATAATCGAACGAGTTTAAGAAATAATGTCAAATTTAATGCTCGTAAATATTAATGAACCTTTGATAACAGAATTAGTGTTGTTAAAAAGTCCGATTCGGGTCAATGTTAAAAAAAGGCCCAATTAAAATTATAACCAAAATAACATTATGTAAGCCTAATGATTTTGCTCATAATTGGCAGAAATTGGACATCTATTTGCCAAATCTGGATGCTTACATAATATAATATTAGCAAAAATCTTAATCGGACCATTTTAAAAAATCGACCCAATCCAGGCTTTTTAACAACACTAATCAGAATGCATTCCAGATCCATCTATGAAAATATATAAATTAATCATCGCGGTAAAATGAAATCTTTTCAGAGAAAAATATAGCCCAAAGAAAATGAAGAAATGAAAGATTTATAGAATTTTTTTAAATTCATATCTATTTTAATATCTTTAGATATTTGAGTGGTATTTTGTAACCTAAATTTTTAAAAATAATATAAGATTCATATGTAATGGAAAAATCGATTTTATATATATCATATTTTCTGAAAATATATAAAATAACCCCTCCGCCAAATTTTCAAGCAATACACCACTTGTAGCAAGATATGATTTAATAAATTAGCCTGATGATTTGATTTGTCTGATATGTTTCCATTTGAGTTTTTTTGATAAATATTATTAATCAATACATTTAAGGGCTAAAAGTATATTAAAAATAAAGATAATTCAAACCAACACTAGTTTTATACTATACAACCGAGTACAAAAATACAATAATGCTATGGAGAATTATTATATGTACTCGCCCTTATCGCATTCTTTTCAAAAGGTCAGAAAGTACACTTCAATATTTAGGCAATATTCTTTTTTATTTTTACTTCGTATTTTTTCTCGGGGCACATTGATATCAAGCGATTAAACTCTTTTTCTAAAATTTGTCGAGCCTAAAATTAAAGTTTGAATTAATAAAATTATCAATATAAATATCAATTCCCCGCTTCGTCAATTGATAGAAAATACTACTTTGAATTCAAATATAATTTTATCCATAACTAATGAAATTTGTATAACCGTAGCATTCTGTGGAATTTGAAGAGCCAGAGCTAAGCTTTTAAGATCAAAGCTATCATCCAAAGCGATAATAGTTCCATGAACTCCTGTGTCTTTAAGATTTAGAGTGTATTCTTTCAAACCAATCATAGCTATCCATTGCATGATGTTTTCATTCGTCCACACCAAGACGTCTTAAATAATATAACCAAAAAAAATAATATAAATATCCCTTTAATAAAATATGTTGTAAATTATTCCTATAAATAATAAATTAATATTAACAGAAAGTATTTGAATTTATATTCGTAAATACTGATATTATTAGTTCAGTTCATAATCAATATTTTAATTTTTATGTAGTATTAATTTTGTTGATAGTGATTAGATTAAAATTTATATTTTTTCTCTTGAGATATAAACATGAGTTTTAATTTATTACAATTTTATTTGTTCTTATTTTTCGTTTTAATAGTGTATTTAGCATATTATTTTATATTTGTTTATGTTGTATTCTATTTTATAAAAATGTAAGAAATATTGACATTTTAGAACAAGAATGTTAGTTAATTAATTATTAAATAAATTTGCAAAATGTAATAAAAGTGATGATATAGTATTTGAATAGATTTCCCATGAAAGTAATTTGCGAGTCCCTCTAACCACTAGACCCAAATAAAAAGTAATGGACTCGAAATGGATATCATAATAATAACAAATAACCTTGTAAAAATGATAACTTAATAAAATTGGTCAATTTGGTATGAAATTTTTCAAACAAAAAATAGTCTTTTTATTAAAATTTTAACATTTTCCAAAAAACATCAAAAAATGCAAAGTCTTTATTATGTTGAAAAAGACACCATGCTAATTGAAAAAAGTCATTATGTGTTTGGAAAGAAAAAGGACACTATAATTTAAAAAATATATAATAATTTATTTTAAACAAGTCACTTATAAATATATAAATGTTTATAATTTATTATCAATTTATCCAATTTGAATTTTATCAATTAAGTTTATTTTAAAATCCTTAGTGCAAATATTAAATTATACAAATATCAATTTTTGAGAAGTAATTTGGATTTTTTAAGTCTAAAAACTTGTAAAAGGTGATGATGTTTTGGTATTATTAGAACTGAGGTTTTCGGAAAGCCAATTAGAATTTATGAGAGAGTTTCTAGCTTCGTTCCTTAATTTTTCCAATTTTGTCCGATCGTAATTTAACTTCTTTAGACAAATGATTCCGTATTGAAGACTAGTTCTGTAAAATATATTCATTCACGAATTGAAAAATAAAAATGTTATTGTATAATCAGGTAATTGATATCAAGGCAAGAGCCTAGTTATATCAATAATTTGTGGTCAACTCAGCATAACATAAGGAGAAAATTAATGATATTAATACTATAGACTGGCAATTAATGCATTAAAGTGGCTAAAATTGAGTGATCGGTGGTTATTTTGTGTATGGGATTCATATAAAAGAATATCAATTATTATAGGAATTGAGTATATATATTTTGATGCATATATTTACAATATATGAATACATTTATATTATATCCATATTTATATAATATTTAAATATAATATTATAAGATCTATATAGAATAATTAAATCAAATACTTGTTATGGTAATAATAAGAATACTATTTAATATTTTCTGCCCTTTTTTATTGTTTACTTATAATAAATTACTAGATGAATAAAAAACATTTGCAGAGCAAGTAAAGATTTATTGTTTTTATTACTTAATGAATATCTTCAAGATTTTATAGACTAATCAATTTAATAAATACTTATAGTAATAAGAATATAATTTAATATGTTAGGCCTTTGATTAAATTTGCAGAGCAAGTAAGATCGATGTTTATTATTTAATGAAGATTTAATATTTATACTATAAAAAATCTCTGAGGCGGTGTCAACACTGAACATTTTTGTTTTGAGCTATGATACCCTATTCTGGTTTGTTTTAAGTTTGTACATTAGATAAATATTATGTTTATATATTTTTACGGTACAAATAAAACAAAGACGTAATAAATCATTAGCCTCTTTCTTTTTAAGGCTGTTTAGAGGAAGCTATATAGATGGCTGTTTAGAAATAATTAGATTAATACGACGATGATTTTTTTAAATATATTTTTAATCAAGTTTTATCTAAAAAATCTTTTTATAAAAAAAAATTGGGAATTTAAATATGACAAGATTAAAAAGTTATTTATTATCTTGTCCATAACCTTAAATCCAAATTTGACTTGGACCCAAACATATGGTATCTTGATGGTGGAACCATCTGTGGATCCACAAAAATATTAGAAGTTTTAAACTTCCTCGCCAAACTCACTCTTGCTTACAAACGTGTAAAGAGCATCTCATATAAATTTCCCCTAAATATTTTTATATCAGTCTGAAGATGAGGAATACTAGCGCAGCTTTGTTGTATGGACAACTAGAGGGCGAAACGTTTTTATCGCGTATTATAAAATTTATCATTTTTAGAAACTGGAAATTGCTGTGATCAAAATTTTATCAAAAATATTTAATATATATTATTTTATTGATAAATATTTTGAATTATATAAAAAAATTCTCCATATAATGCTTCGATATTTACTTTTTTTAATGAATAAAAAGAAAGATTATATTTTTATAATTATTTCAGTCTTGCATTTCTAAGTATTTTTATATTTTATTTTATATTATTCCTTTGAATTTCGTTATTCTTTAATTATTATAAATGAGGTAATTTTTAATTTACGTAATTTTTTAACTATATTTTTTATTTAAATTTTATTCACAAAACTACAAAAATCAATAGTAAATATATATTGCGAAAAAATAATAACCTCCATAATTTTGGTTAATCTCACAATAATAACATTGTGTGACAAGAAAAATGGAAGAAGAAAATAAAAACAAGTTTTGGTGCAGAATTTGACGCTGAGTTCGAATCCGTTTTCCAAATTTTCCCTACACGTCAAGTTTTAAAAATATTAACGTATAAAGACAACTTTTCGAAATCTCAAAAATGGTAAAATTTAGGTTTTTATACGGATATATTTTAAAAAGTGTCGAATAAAAATCCCTGAAAATTAGTGATAGTGTTAAACTACTTCTTTATAAATTTACTAATTTTTTATCGATTGGTTTTTGAGAAAAATGGTAAAGAATTTCGTTTTGGAGGTCTAAGTTCAATTTAAATTACTATCAAAATTATTAACTTTAGTAGATAAATTTTATATAATTTTGCTTCAAATATGCTCAAGATTATATATTAATTCTTATTATGTTTCAAAAGTACTCTATGCCATGAAAATTCAACCAAAATCTATAAATTAAAAAAGTCGGTACAGATATTTTCGAACTTTTTAATTTGTATACTTTTATTGAATTTTCTCTGCATAAAGCATTTTTAAAGCAAAATTAAAGTAATAATTATCTGTTTTAGTTGTATTTAGTAATATTTTATGCATTTATGATCAATTTATACCAAAATCAGATATCTGTACCCACTTTTTTAATTTGTACTCTTTTTGAATTGAGCATTTTTGAAGCAAAATTCATTTAAAATGCAATAATTGGTAATTTTTTCATATTTTTTATTAATATTTATCTTTTTTAGATTTATTTAAGAATATTTGTTTTTTTAATCAATTTATATCAAAATATATGATTTTCCAATGGAGTACCTTGAACCCGTAGTATGGGCAATAAATAATAATGCCAAATAACGAGTAGGAAGAAAGGAGAAGAATTATTTTTTTCCGCGCTTAATTTTTCATAAACATTAAATTTCTTTCATTAATTTTTTTTTTAAATTGGATTTTAAATATTATTCAAATTCCCTCCTTATATAATATTCTACAAAAAATTAATGCCAAGGTCCCCTTGTTTAAAGTGTGTCTTTAAATTTTGTTACATCTGTGCGGGCTATATATTGCCCGAACAAAAATGTCCAATTTCTCCCATCATTCAAAGGATTTATGAAATTTATTACAATATTCCACTCTGCGATTTGGATAAACCATTTGCCCCTAATTACATATGTAAAACATGTTATAATTCTTTTAATTCGTGGGTAAATGGAAAACGGTCATATTTGCCTTATTCGAAACCTGCATTTTGGCACGTAGCAAGAAATCATTCATGGGATTGTTATTTTTGCTCGATTAGTACATTTAGGTTTAACAAAAAAATAAGAAGAAAATTCGTTAAATGTAAGCTATATTAAAAAAGATTTTATAAATAAAGGTAAATTTAAAAAATATAGGTTGTTTAAAAATTGAGTAAGGATTTTATAAAAAAAAAGTATAATAATAATAAGGAAGGTTTGCTGCAAAAATTAAGATATTTTTTAGTTGTAGGGATCATTAGAATCGAAGTTATAAACCTTCAAAAAGTGTTAAAAATGACCTTTTTGGCCACTTTAACCTAAAATAAATAAAAAAAAACCTGACGTGCTAGAAAAAAACTGACAGCGGATTTAGAATATGCATAAAAAAACTGTCTTAAAACATGTTTATTTAATTTTCTCCCAAAAAAATCAAGTCGAAATTTGCCACACAGTGTAATAAAGACAATATTCATAAGAATGTAATTAGTGCTGTTAACGTAAAATAAAAGTAACGGCGTTACTTTTCTGGAATACTTGTTCAAAAGCTAACGATTAACGCGTTTCACGTGAGTAATGTTAACGAAAACGTTACATTAAATTTTTTTTAAAAAATATGAATTTTTTTTTTAAATTTTATAAATCAACTACCAACGTTTTTTATTTTTAATTAATATATTTTTGTTATTAAATTTTACATATTCAAGATTATTGATCTAATTAATATTGAATCAATTAAAGTAAGTAAATTTATATTCTCTAATGTGATAATTTATTTTATTATGAATATATTGTCAATAGTACTTATTTCTTCATGAAAAAATGACTTAACTCTGTCCTGGTCCCAGTTTGAAACTTTTCTACGCCATAAAGAAAGTTAAGGGCACTACGTTTACACTTTATAAGTGTAGATTGTGTCCTAATTCAAATATTTAAACCTTGAGAAAAGATCTTGACAAATATAAACAAAAATTACGCATTAAAAAAATAGAAAATTCCGATAATAATCTATACTCGTATAATACAAATTCCATACACAAAATGACCACAAATCACTTCAATTTTATATGCTTCATATTTTATTTTAACATTACGATTGTCATTTATAGTATTAATGTCATTAGATAAAATACAAGGATAAGAGCCCTTAACGAATATCAGTTCAAGTTTGGGATCAGAAAAATAACGGTTCTGGGCTCAGTTCGTAAAATAAAAGGATGGGTTTAAGCCTATAAAACTTGGTTCGATCTTTACACAATATATTAAAATTATGTTAAAAGGGCAAATTTTTAAAATGAAAGTAACTAATATCTTATGACACATCATTTCACACATCAGTCAAAATTAGTCTAAAAATTTGACATTTGCATAAAAATATTTTTTGACACTGAAATTTCAAAATAGACCTAATTGTCATGTATAATTAATTAGGTTAAAAAAAATTAGATTCATCAAAATAAATTAGTTTGTTGCAATTGTTAGGGCTGAATTCTTCGAACCTATAAAATTCACGATAAGAGTAATGATACAGCACCTAATTTTTTTCAAAGATTCGAATCTATTCTAAACTTTTGTCGATCCGAGTTAGATCCAAAAATTTTAAATAAAAATATGCGTTTGATTTTTAAAAGTGGAAAAATTATAAGGGCCTGAGGAAAATAAAAATTTTGGTATTTTTTTTAAAAAGAATTTAAATAAAATAATTCAAAGCTACGCTAAGCTCCAGGTGCGGTCCGATTAAAATGTTAAAATCAAGGCATTTGAGAAAAGGTATGTCCAAGTGTACATATCCGTACATGGTTATCATAACCAAGGGTAGGCGGAGAATATATTCTTTTGCTAATAAGCTTAATATTGAAATCGATACCCTTCTTTTGTATATAAATTATAAATTAATAATATTTCCATTAATTAAAAATTATGCTACACCCCGAGCTACCCCTATTTAAATTTAATGCATTATATGAAAAAGAAAATAATTAAATATTTTGAGTTTGATATTTTTTCTGTTTTTAAATTAGGCTGCAAAAGGTTATGCCTCGCTCTAAAAATATTTACCACCGGGTGGGCGGGATAAATGCATTATTTAAATTAATTTAATTGTTCCAACTCAAATCACCAAATATTTTTTCCTATATAATAATAATGAAATTCAAATTGATTTCTTTATTTTCGAGATATTTCGATAACTAATTTTGTAATCCAATCAATTAATTGCAAACTTTTCAAAAATAACAATGTGTATGTATCATTTGTAATGTTAAACAAAAGAATGCAGTACTTCAGCACCATTCTTTTAAAGGAAAACATACTTTTAATAACCAATAAATACGTTAAAATAAATTTATATTATCACAATGGAAATAAAAACTATTGGATATTTCGCTTTATTATGAATATTTGGAGTAAAACTGGCGTTATTGAATATTTAAAAATGAAAATATGAGTCACTTTATCATAAAAGTATTCATTTTTATAGGGTCAATTTTAATAGAATGATGAAATTAAACAATTGAAAGATTGAACCAAGTTTTAGGAAAATTATACCCTTTGTAAATAATTCCCGAAAATAGTATCTCTAAAATTATGGAATCGCTTAACTGCATATAAATTTTCAATTTAATAATTATGATTAAGGATGTGCCGATCCACATATTTTTCACCGATTCGATCTTTTCGATATTGTTTCAAAACCGATCCGATACCGATATTTATACTGATTTTTAATCACCCCCCTTTGAACAAAATGTGATTAAGAAATCAATATTTTTTATGCAAAAAATCGAATTATGAATTTAATTTTTTTATTTCTACTATTAAGACTATAATAAAAAAATATATATTTAATAATATATCCATTTTATGTTGGTATGAATTATAAAATTGTAATATTTAATATATAAAATTATAATATATTAGATTTTTTAAATAAATATGAAAGCCTCTAGATTTTCTGGAGCTTCTACGATATGGACCAGCTATATCTCCTGCCGTAAAGCAGACTTAGATGATTCCGCAGATAACGCATTTTGCAAAATTATCTTTTGTAAAATATTTCCATTATTCAGATACCATATTTAAAAAAATTCTTGTATAAATAAAAAAATTGGCGTTATTTAAAAAGATTTAAAATAATAATAAATAAAACTTTGGGTGTTCCTTTCTATTTTTATAAAAAAAAACTTTTAAAATACTATAAATCTATTTTAAAAAAGAAATAAAATTTAAAAAAATTATTTAGAAATTATTATAATAATGTAAAATAAATATACATAACATAAAATAACAAAAAAAAGAAGTAAAAAGATCGGATCGGGTTATTACAGGTATCGGCCCGATCCAATATTTTCGGCAAACTCTAAATATCGGTACCGATCTGATATTTAATATCGGCACAGCCCTAATTATGATCTTAACAAAAAAAATTAAATAATAAAATAATATCAAAACACCCAAAAATTATTGAAATAAAACTTGACAGATAAATAGTATGTTGATATAGTTTTAATGAATTAAACCTATGAAAAGAATCAACTATCTTTAGCTGATTTCTTAAATCCTTTTTGGTCAAATGTTCTAACATCCTTGCATCAACAAGACATTCCATAAATGATGTTCTGTATTGAGAAAGACCTAAACTAGGTAACCATTCATTACCCACCCATTCATGATTCATATCTCCGTAAGCCAGATTCTATAAAAAATATTATCTAAGTTACAGGGTTGGGCAGTATCGCGGATATTTGTATCTAAGATACAAGATACTTTTGTATCTTGTCTCTTCTATCTTTTTTATAATTTTGGAAAGTATCTTGTATCCAGTATCTAAGATACATATTATTTAAAAGTATTTGTATCTTAACCAACTTTGTATTCAAAAAGATACAGATACTTTAAAAAAAATTTATATTGGTTAATTTAAATAGTATTAAAATTTAAAATGATATTGTTTTAAGATTTAAATGAAAAATTTAATCAAAATTTAGATATTTTAAGATAATTTTTGATATATGACGTTGGTCGTCATATAGCAATTTGCTAACAATTATAACTACCATATTTGAATCGTTTTATATCTGTCTATTTTAAAATTATGGAAGAAGAAAATAGAATAATATGTTTATCTTCGTATTAAGATGATTCTTCAACCGAAAATTATAACAATAATTTAAACTAAGCATACTTAATGGCAAATTTTTTGAAGAACTTCAAGATGATCATAAAAGAAATAGGTCCGTGAAGTTGGCCGAACGATTGGAAGCACTAACGATGAATCATATGTCATTTTTTAGTGCTTCAATCTGTATAGTAGACGAATTTAAGGGAAAAAAGTTATAAGCAAAAATAAAAATTTGTGTCAACTTCACGCTTAAAGGTCGATTGGAAGCACTAACGATGAAACTTATATCATTCTTTAGTGCTACGTTAGTAGAGGTTAGTGCTTCAATCAGTTCCGTAGCCGAATTTAAGAATAAAAAGTTATTCACGAAAAAAACAAAAATAAACAAATAATGGCGACGTGCCAAAACAAAAACTATAGGAGTACTAAACATCCGGTTTTCGACATTATTTAGTGCTTAATTAGTGTATTTAAATTCCGTAATTTATTTTGTTAACCGTCATATGAAAAAAATATAACACGCTAAATAAATTTTTAGAGGTCAAATTTCGGCTAGAAAATTATGAAAGCACTAACGATGAAACTTATATCATTCTTTAGTGCTTCGTTAGTAGAGGTTAGTGCTTTAATCAGTTTTGTAGCCGAATTTAAGAATAAAAAGTTATTCACGAAAAAAACAAAAATAAACAATGGCGACGTGCCAAAACAAAAACTATAGGAGTACTAAACATCCGGTTTTCGCCATTATTTAGTGCTTAATTAGTGTATTTAAATTCCGTTATTAATTTTGTTAACCGTCATATGAAAAAATTGTAAAACGCTAAAGAAATTTTTAGAGGTCAAATTTCGGCTAGAAAATTATAAAAGCACTAACGATGAAACTTATATATTTAGATCTCATTATTATCAATATAATTATGCAGGAATTCTGATAGTTACCCTGATTCAATATAGCATATCAATAATTCAAATTTTCTGACACCTCTTTAGAATCTTAAGAAAAGAATATATCAAATTGATTATGTTTCTATAGATAGATATGAATAATTGTATTCAAACTCTTCTCTAGAAATTATCAAAACAACTAAAGAAGTTATTAATAAAAATGTAAGTCCAACTCCACTTAGTGGTCGAAAATATAATCCTCAAGCGTTATATCTTTTTATTGGAAAACTGTTACTCGATAATATAAATTGTAGATTAAGAGTGTTATATTTTTATTCGAATATTGTAACTACAATATTGATGGAAGAATAAAGAAGGAAAAAATTATAAAAAATGTATGATATAATTTTCAACGAATAAAACAGCAATTAGCGAAAATAAGCATATAATCAATAAAACATTCTATATAACAAATATAAACAAATACGAATATAGTTTAAAAAACCTTTATGTTTAAAAAACCTTTATGGCATAGTTATAAATAATATTTAATTTTTTAATACATATAATGCAATATAATTTTATTTGAATTGTATAGGATAATTTTCAATTCACAATTTCTGTTGTCACAAATGACATAAATTATTTAGGGGTCGTGTAAAATCATTTGATTTGATAAGCTCCTCCCAAGATAAAAACATTCTTCAATCCTAAAATCATATATATTATTTATTTGATATTTTAAAATATACCTTATTCTATAGGATTAGGAAACTTCAGCAAATACCTTATAATATATAAGATCGGAGAAAATATCATATATTTTCTAATTTAATAATTCCAGTACTATATTGAACGACAAATTTAATTCTTTCTCTAGCATAATATGGATTTAATTTAAATATATTTTTGCATGGGAAGTGTCAAGGGCTTAATTGTAAAAGCTATGTAACGAAATGTTGAACAATATTAATGGTCAAACTTTATTTTTATTTGTATTATGATAACTAATTATAACAGTACTACCGTAAAGAAAGACGGGCGCATTTAATTTTTGCCTGCAATTTTTTACCTTTTTATTTATAATTTAAAGCCAAATTTAGTTATTATTGTTAGATGAGAGTTTTTAATACCTATCTTATTTACCCCATTAACTAATCACATTTACTTCCCACCCCGTGAAGGTGGGAGTTGGAATTTAAGGGAGCAAAGAGGGAAAAATAAGATTGATTAAAAAAAGGAAGAAATTAAAAAAAAGAGACAAAGATATTTATAGCATTTCTATAATTTAAAAGAAGAGATGCTGATACTTTCATATTTAATACGTCTGAACAATACCAAAAAAATAGGTAGTATATAAATTACAAACTATGTTAAAATAGTTTGTAATATAATATACAATTTCACTTTATATATTTTTTAAAAAATAATTTTTATTACACTTTTGATTTTGAATATAGATTTCGTATTTCAATTTTTTTTAGAAAATTCACGAAATAAAGAAGCATCACAAATATTCTTAAATATAATTTAAATGGCATATTTTATTTACAATGATTAATTAATCTACTATTATAAATTTTATAATTTTTTTTACTGCCATTAAAATAATTTAAAAAAAATTTGACAATTTAGAAAGAAAAATAATTATACCAAATCTTAATATAGCTCCTATTCTCATTGCTTGTGAGAATCATAGTTCTTTGATTTTTAATTCATTATTCTTCAAGTTAATTTAAAAACTTTTCTGTTTAAAATTATTATTATATAATTATTTCATTCATTTAATGACCATCAAGCCAATCGGCATTTAATAAAGAAATGATTTTAAATAATTTTCCGTATGGTAGGGAAGGTAACCTCTTGCAAATAACGGGGATAAATTAATGGTGGGGAATCAGGGATAGCAATATCTCTAAAAATGATTAGGAAAAAAAATACAAGTTTTACCCCTAGAAATAATTAAGTTGGAGAAATATTTTAAATTTTAATATGTAGCTTAATAATAGTTCTTTAATATGACATACAAAGTAAAAATCAAAATCAAAATCCCCGCAAATTCTTATATTTTATCAAATAAATAGAATATAAATTGAGAACTGCTTATTGATATTGGGCAAGCTTTGATCACATATTCCTTTTATTTTCGATTTTTTTTTTAAATTAACATTTTTAATTTATAATAATCGACAATTACAAAAATGTTTTTAATATACAAACACGAAATTAATAATAACAAGGTTTAAAAAAAAATCATAATCATTACATCTAATCCTTACCCAAAGGATGATCGGAATTTTTATTTTCATCGTCACTTTGCCCTAGCATCAGCTCTTCCATTCTTTGGACTTCCAATGATGTCCTTAAATGCGCCTGATGTCCTGTCCCACTTGTCGAGGCTTTATGAACTTTTCCGACAATGGAATCCTGAATGAGTTATCCACCGATTCTTTTGGCAATCCCGCGAGGGCAACGTCGGTTCTCCTAGATCTTGTTCTTGGCAAAGATCCATAATTTTCCCGACAGTTGAATATTTTATGCCCCAAACGCCCACACGATGAAAATAAAAATTCTGATCATCCTTTGGGAAAGGATTAGATGTAATGATTATGATTTTTTTTTAAACCTTGTTATTATTAATTTCGTGTTTGTATATTAAAAATATTTTAATTGTCCATTATTATAAATTAAAAATGTTAATTAAAAAAAAATCGAAAATAAAAGGAATATGTGATCAAAGCTTGCCCAATATCAATAAGCAGTTCTCAATATATCATATTTATTTGATAAAATATAAGAATTTGCGGGGATTTTGATTCTTACTTTGTATGTCATATTAAAGAACTATTATTAAGCTACATATTAAAATTTAAAATATTTCTCCAACTTAATTATTTCTCGGGGTAAACCTTGTATTTTTTTTCCTAATCATTTTTAGAGATTTTGCTATCCCTGATTCCCCACCATTTATTTATCCCCGTTATTTGCAAGAGGTTACCTTCCCTACCATCCTAAATATATAAAAATTACGGAAAATTATTTAAAATCATATCTTTATTAAATGCCGATTGGCTTGATGGTCATTAAATGAATGAAATAATTATATAATAATAATTTTAAACACAAAATTTTTTAAATTAACTTGAAGAATAATGAATTAAAAATCAAAGAACTATGATACAAGCAATGAGAATAGGAGCTATATTAAGATTTGGTATAATTATTTTTCTTTCTAGATTGTCAATTTTTTTAAAGGCAGTAAAAAATTTTATAAAATTTATAATAGATTAGATTAATTAATCTCATGTGTGGTTAATTATTTTAGTATAAAATTGTAAATAAAATAAGCCATTTAAATTATATTTAAGAATATTTGTGATAATGTTTCTTTATTTTGTGAATTTTTTAAAAAAATTGAAATACGAAATCTATATTCAAAATCATAGTGTAATAAAAATTATTTTTTAAAAAATATATAAAGTGAAATTGTATATTATATTACAAACTATTTTAACATAGTTTGTAATTTATATACTACCTATTTTTTGGTATTGTTCAGACGTATTAAATATGAAAGTATCAGCATCTCTTCTTTTAAATTATAAAAATGCTATAAATATCTTTGTCTCTTTTTTTTAATTTCTTCCTTTTTTTAGTCAATCTTATTTTTCCCTCTTTGCTCCCTTAAATTCCAACTCCCACCTTCACGGGGTGGGAAGTAAATGTGATTAGTTAATGGGGTAAATAAGATAGGTATTAAAAACTCTCATCTAACAATAATAACTTAATTTGGCTTTAAATTATAAATAAAAAGGTAAAAAATTGTAGGCAAAAATTAAATGCGCCCGTCTTTCTTGACGGTAGTACTGTTATAATTAGTTATCATAATACAAATAAAAATAAAGTTTGACCATTAATATTGTTCAACATTTCGTTACATAGCTTTTACAATTAAGCCCTTGACACTTCCCATGCAAAAATATATTTAAATTAAATCCATATTATGCTAGAGAAAGAATTAAATTTGTCGTTCAATATAGTACTGGAATTATTAAATTAGAAAATATATGATATTTTCTCCGATCTTATATATTATATGGTATTTGCTGAAGTTTCCTAATCCTATAGAATAAGGTATATTTTAAAATATCAAATGAATAATATATATGATTTTAGGATTGAAGAATGTTTTTATCTTGGGAGGAGCTTATCAAATCAAATGATTTTACACGACCCCTAAATAAATTTTGGCATTTGTGACAACAGAAATTGTGAATTGAAAATTATCCTATACAATTCAAATAAAATTATATTGCATTATATGTATTAAAAAATTAAATATTATTTATAACTAAAGGTTTTTTAAACATAAAGGTTTTTTAAACTATATTCGTATTTGTTTATATTTGTTATATAGAATGTTTTATTGATTATATGCTTATTTTCGCTAATTGCTGTTTTATTCGTTGAAAATTATATCATACATTTTTTATAATTTTTTCCTTCTTTATTCTTCCATCAATATTGTAGTTACAATATTCGAATAAAATTATAACACTCTTATTCTACAATCTATTTATATTATCGAGTAACAGTTTTCCAATAAAAAGATATAACGCTTGAGGATTATATTTTCGACCACTAAGTGGAGTTGGACTTACATTTTTATTAATAACTTCTTTAGTTGTTTTGATAATTTCTAGAGAAGAGTTTGAATACAATTATTCATATCTATCTATAGAAACATAATCAATTTGATATATTCTTTTCTTAAGCTTCTAAAGAGGTGTCAGAAAATTTGAATTATTGATGTGCTATATTGAATCAGGGTAACTATCAGAATTCCTGCATAATTATATTGATAATAATGAGATCTAAATATATAAGTTTCATCATTAGTGCTTTCATAATTTTCTAGCCGAAATTTGACCTCTAAAAATTTCTTTAGCGTTTTACAATTTTTTCATATGACGGTTAACAAAATTAATAACGGAATTTAAATACACTAATTAAGCACTAAATAATGGCGAAAACCGGATGTTTAGTACTCCTATAGTTTTTGTTTTGGCACGTCGCCATTGTTTATTTTTGTTTTTTTTGTGAATAACTTATTATTCTTAAATTCGGCTACAAAACTGATTAAAGCACTAACCTCTACTAACGAAGCACTAAAGAATGATATAAGTTTCATCGTTAGTGCTTTCATAATTTTCTAGCCGAAATTTGACCCCTAAAAATTTCTTTAGCGTGTTACATTTATTCCATATGACGGTTAACAAAATAAATTACGGAAATTAAATATACTAATTAAGCACTAAATAATGGCGAAAACCGGATGTATAGTACTCCTATAGTTTTTGTTTTGGCACGTCGCCATTATTTGTTTATTTTTATTTTATTTGCTAATAACTTTTTATTCTTAAATTCGGCTACAAAACTGATTAAAGCACTAACCTCTACTAACGAAGCACTAAAAAATGATATAAGTTTCATCGTTAGTGCTTTCATAATTTTCTAGCCGAAATTTCACCTCTAAAAATTTCTTTAGCATTTTACAATTTTTTCATATGACGGTTAACAAAATTAATAACGGAATTTAAATACACTAATTAAGCACTAAATAATGGCGAAAACCGGATGTTTAGTACTCCTATAATTTTTGTTTTGGCACGTCGCCATTATTTGTTTATTTTTGTTTTTTTCGTGAATAACTTTTTATTCATAAATTCGGCTACAAAATGGATTGAAGCACTAACCTCTACTAGCGAAGCACTAAAGAATGATATAAGTTTCATCGTTAGTGCTTACAATCGACTTTTAAGCGTGAAGTTGGCACAAATTTTTATTTTTGCTTATAACTTTTTTTCCTTAAATTCGGCTACTATACGGATTGAAGCAATAACAAGCACTAACGAAGCAAAATGACATATGATTCATCGTTAGTGCTTCCATCGTTCGGTCAACTTCACGGAGCTTAAAGAAATTCATCGTGACTTTGGTATTGACGAAAAAGTTATAGCAACTGTTACAATAACGGCTCTAACTTTAAGAAAGCTTTCAAGGAGTTTGGATATTCTATGGAAGCTGTAGAGAATGACTTTGACATCAATGATGATGAATGTATAGAATTCGAAATCATTGAAAGTATTATTTAATACTTCTTTAAAATTTATTATGATATTGTAAATTTAGTAAAAAATTTTATTCAAATAAAATTATTTATTTGTTTATTTAAGGGTCTAAAGAAGCCTCAATAACATTGCCTCAACACACTCGTTGTTTGTGCCATACGATAAGTCTAATTGCCACAACAGATGTCGAAAGAGCTATTAAGGATTCTCCTAACATTTCTAAAATTCATCATCCTGCAATAGCTAAATGTACTAAGCTATGGAATGCAAATAATAGGCCTAAAACTGCAGAACTTATCAAAGCAGTTTTAGGAAAACAATTAGTTACACCTTGTTGCACTAGATGGAATAGTTTGTATGATAGTCTTCATAGTTTATTAAAATTTAAAGGCGAACTTCCTAAATTATGTCAAAAATTAGAATTTCCTAAATTAAGAGATATTGAAATTCAATATTTAGAAGAATATTGCAATATAATGGCCCCATTGGCTATAGCGATTGACAAAATACAGAGTGAAATCAACTGCCATTATGGAGAATCAGCTCCAATTTTAAATGTCGTTAAAAAAAATTACAAATTTAATTCAAACCAATCTAAAATTTTGCAAACCATTCGCTGTTGCCATAGAAAATTATTTAAATAAAAGATTTAAAAATATATATGATTTTGATAACAATTTTAAAAGTGCATTTTTGGCAACTATTTCTCATCCCTATTTTAAAAATCGTTGAATTGATGGTGAAAAAGAAATAAAATACCTTCAGGATTTGTTATTACATGAAGTTTTAATTGTTTTTAAAAATAATATTGAAATTAATACTTCAACAAAATCTTCAATTGATGAAGATGATGATTACTTTTGCCTTAAAAGTACCACATCCAATTCTAATAATTCAATAAATGATATTGAACTAGAGGTCCTAAATTATATGAAAGATGGCAGGCGGAGTATAAATATGTTAAATAGTTATATATAAAAGAAATATTTATTAAATATAACACAATATTACCCTCCTCAGCCCCCGTTGAAAGATTATTTAGCTTTGCTAATATGGTTAATAGACCAAATCGTCAAAGATTGAACGAAAAATTAATAATATTAAAAAATAATGCTGATTTTTTATTATTTACTAATTATATAATTATTAAATGGAATATCGCATTATCTTTTATAATAAATTTGTTATTTTCTACAATTTATTTTAAATATTTTTTTATAAATTTATATTATAGATAAGAAAATAAAGCTTTATACATTTTGATTTTGACTATTTAAAGTTTTTTAAAAAAGTATCTTGTATCTTAGATACTTTTTTTTAAAAAATACAAGTATCTTGTATCTTATTTCTTATTGAAATTTTTCTAAAGTATCTTGTATCTTAAATACAAAATTTTATAAAGTATCTGTATCCGAATACAATTTTCTGAAAATTTGCCAAACCCTGATAAGTTAATTATGAAGAAGGAAATAGTGTAAATTCTTAAATGTACTAAATAATTATATAAAACTATTAAAAAATTTATAGCTTATCCGCAGGGGATGACATTTACTTGAGATTATCTAAAACTAAAATTTGAAGAAATCCTTACAAAAATAAATTTCTAAGCATATGTTTTTGAAAGCATAATTATATTAGATGTCTCATTTTTAACTAAATTTAATGTAATCTTACCTACAATTTAATTTGCATTGTCAGAATGATAAATAAGAAGATATAATCAAAAAGAGACTCTATCGTAGTCTGCAAGCCTAATTTATTTAAACTAAATTAAAATTTTAAGTACACTATGGCAAGAAGAGGGTTGTTTGAGGGTCAAGGCTGTAGTGGGATCTGTGAGACCAACCATCTCCTGTATAGCCAAGCGCAGTTTGAGCCGGTGCAACGGGTTGCTGATACCGATTTCGCGCTGAATTTCGGCGTCGGAAAGAGCCGACATAACGGCTCCGCTTTTTACGTTGGCACGACATGCTGCTACGTACCATGCCGGCATACCCACCCATAACTGTATAATCAATAAAAAGAATTAAACCATGTATTTTTGAATTTTTATCATCGATTATATTTAGAGATTTTTGGATAAAATTTTAAAAATAATTTGATGTGTAAATTTAAAACGCTTGAAAAAGGGATATTGGTCTTGAAAACTAGGACTATCAAAGGCTTTGATTTTCGGGTATAAATAATTCACCATCATTGTGATGTAAGGGGTTATATGATAGTCAAGTAAAATGCAAGACATTTAAGATCGAATCTGTTAAATTTATTTCGATTAAATAATTCAGACCAGGCCACCGTTTATAGCCTTATATTTTGCATTTTCCATCCGATAAAATATAGAAAGGGAATGAACTACATTAAATAACCTAAATTTTATGCTTCTTACAGATTTCAACTTACAACGGTATCGGTATAAATTATTGAGAGTTCCCCTTTTTTATTGTAACACATTATCAATTGTTTGGCGCAAAATTGGCTTCTTTTAAGCCATTAAATTAATTTTAGAGTATGTAATAAACCAATAAAAAATATTATTATAATAAAAAAAATTTTGCTATTGAATAAATAATTTTTTTAAATTCAATATAATCTCCTTTAATTTTATAGTACCTACCAGAGTTGTTAAAAAATACTTTTTAAATGGATCTAGATACAGATACATAGTCTAAAAATTTATCTAGATACAGATACAGCTTCTAAAAAGTTATCTTGATACAGATACATTTTTTATTATACTCTTAAATAAGGTTTGATAAACCTAAATTAGGATTCTTTTGTGAAAATTCATGAAATGATCTAAAAAATTTATTGACTTGATATCACATTTATCAAAATATAACTATAATAATGATTTTTAGATATTAATATAATATATGATTAATATAAATAATTATTATATATCATTAATAAAATAATATAATATATGATTAAATGATTATAAATACTTATTAGATTTCAGTAATATTTTCAAAATTTTGGTTTAAGACATCCTCGTTTATCTGTAAAGACATTTTTAGCTATACTAAAAAGTCTTTCAACAGGGGCACTGGAAGGGATTGTGGTGTCATATTTAATGAATAACATTTTTATATCAGGATATTGTTTAAAAATACTAAAATCTTGGCATTCATTTTTGAAAAAACTATTTAAAATTTGTTGATTATCAGAATTTAAATCATTAACAATCATATCTCCTGCTGTGGGATACTGAAAAAAATCGGATATTCAATTATTAGTTTTTTTTCACAGGTTAATTTGCACTCATTTGAAGACTTTGATAATTCCTCAACTAATCTTTGTATTAATTGTTTTTTTTTTATTAAAATTTTCATCCATTTGCAACCATGTCCAATCTTTAAAAAAAGGATGAAGCATAGTTGCCAAAATATTTTCATCTTCAACAATTGTCCACATAAACCTAGAATTATTAAATACTGATTAATTTATTATTAATTTACCTATTGGTAAACAAAATTTCAGGTTCATTTGTTTAAAAATTTTCAATTTAATAATGAGCTGGGAAATATGTTTACCAGCGATAGGCACTCCAACAATCGGCTGTTGTGCATATTAACGATGGTTCTATTAGACTTTTAATGATTTCTTTCTTTTCATTCTCCCATCTTTGGGAAATTCTAGCAATCACTGTCTATCTGCAAATTATATTTTTTAGTGGAGCTAATGTTTTGATCATTTTTATAAATGATGGATTTTCATCAATTGAAAATGGCTGAATTCTATCTATAATAAAATCAGATATTAAATCATCTAAAATGGTTTGGGTTAAAGTCTGAGGTCTCTTGAAAAAAAAACCAATGGACGATGAGCCTAGTCCAATATTTTCTTTAATAGATTTTTTCTCCTTCCCCTTTTTTATTAGGATTAAGAGTGTTTGATGTTTTCTCTTAAAATTTAAACATTTATTTAGTATCTATACCCTTAAATGTTTTACAATGTTCGAAGTTAAGGTAATGCTAACTGAAATTTTCATATTTTTTGGGACATGGCAAACATTTTACTAACAGAGATTTGTTTTCTTTATTTTGAGATATTATTTTAAAATATGGTCTATAAATTGGCCATGGAATGTCGTCATTTTCGTCATCAATATTAAACTTAAAAATTAATATAATAGAATAAAATACCAATTCCATAGCAATTAAAAATGGCAAATTCCTTGAGATGGATTGTAATATCAGAATTTGCTTGTTATTGATAACTCGGACATAATATTTAATTAATATTTATATATCTTTTTTATATATAAGTTTTAATATTTTACATATATATATAATTTTTTAATATTATTAATTTATATGCTCATATGAAATAAAATAAATTTTACACTCAAGTATTTTTATTTATAATATAAAAAAGCGTTAAATAAAAGTATATCAAAATGTAACTTAAAAAGTATCTAAAAACAGATACAGATACCTCTAAAATAATATCTAGATACAGATACTTTAATCAAAAATCTATCTAGATACAGATATCACATTTTTATATCAAGTATCTAGATACTTTAACAACTCTGGTACCTACTGCCTAGCTTTATAAATTTTTTTATTAAATTAGGCTATCCTCAGAAGTGTCCTAAGGATGTTATATTTTTTTAAAGAAAAATCGCTTTTGATAGTTTTATTTTTATTCCCTAGCATACTATATACTTGAATATTGTCTTGGTCTGCGAGTCCTGTACATCTTCTAAGAACCAATTGGTATTTCAATAAAAACATTTAACTCAAAAGGTAATAGAATAGCGTAAATATCCAAGTTGTATGATAATAACTAGGTATATTCGATATTCTTTGTCAATCTCCAACAAGCATCACAAAAATCTATTGTAGTGAACATACGACCACTGAATTTAATATCTTCAAACGTTGATAGTAACTATTGATCAAATTTTAAATGTGGATTTAAAGTTACACGAAAGTCTCCACAAATTCTGACTCTACAAACTGTTTAATATGGTTAAATTGGTGTAGCCTAGTGTTGTTAAACGGCTCATTTTGAGCCGATTTTTAAAAATGGCTAACTCATTATTTTAGCCTGAAAAATATAGCCTAAGCCTTGAGATTTCGCTAATAGATGTCCAAACCTTTGTTCCTTCTACAAACAAAATCTTCAGGCTTGAGTTAAATTATTCTGCATGAAATAGTGAATAAGCCGTTTTTAAAAATCGGCTCAAAACGAGCCGTTTAACAACACTAGTGTAGCCCATTCAATTGGAGTGGCCATTGGGTCAAACTTCGAGAACTTTATACTCAACTTACCAATACATTTCTTAATATCTTTTTTCCTTACTATTTGCTACATTTAAACAATTTATTTGTACTTGGCCTTGAGTCTTAAATAAATTCTAAAAACAATGGTAATCCATTGTAATTAGTAGTCTATATTCTGTATATTGATAGGGTTTAATTTCATACTCATATATATCACACCTAATGCTTGTAATGTTTTTTTTCATAAGTAGTTATGATGAGGGGCATAATTGAGTTTTTCCTCTACTATGTTTTTTTATATTTAGAATGAACGTAAAAATCCATTATAAATGCTTTTTTTATTTATCCGTACTTTTATTGTTGTTTGCTTTTTGGTATGCTGGACATGTTTCTTTAGTATATATGTCATCTATTATCATAATTCTTTCTCTAATTATTATTATAAACTCGTCGGTCATTTCTGTCATTATTATCAAATTTATCTCAATTATTAGCATTTTTTCTTACGTTCGTTATTAAAAGTTTTATTTCTTTATGGATTCTAGTTATAAAAATTGTTACTGTTACGACATCTTGAAATTTTATTTTAATACCATCTTCGCTTTTATCTTCAGGGATCTAGTTCGGACTTCTAATACTAGTTGTAATTTAACTCTAACTCCCGAAATTGTTCGTCAATTGTTGTTTTGAAATAACGGCATTGTCGACAACTTTCTTTTAACTGATTTATAAAATTTTCTATGTTCCCATTATTTTCTCCTTACATTTAACAAAATTTTATTCTAGTCAAGAATACAGTTTTTGTTGTATAAAAAATTTCTGGAGGTCTAGATTTTAATTCTCCAGACTACATTTTCCCGATATCTTTAGAATACAAATGATTTTCTTAATATGAGACTCAACTTAGAGGTTTAGCCAAAATGCCTAGCTAATCTACAATGGAGTTGGTTAAAGTTAGGTTATATTAATTATTATTAAATTTATCATTACAAATATATTTCGACCCACTTAATAAATAACAGAGACCTGCAGAGGTACCATTTGCACGGCCCGGCCTGGTTTTAAATTTTTTAGGCCCGGCTTAAAATTATATTCGACCTGGTATATACAAAAATTCACCTATGAGGTATTTTACCATATTTTTCAGCGAGTATTATTGCTTATTATTTAAAAAATACATGTAAAAAGCTAATATTTTGAGAATATTATATTGAATTTATAAAAATTATAAAACTGTTATTTATAAAAATGGATATTTTGAGCATATACTATATTTTATATTGCATTTATAAAAATAAAATAATATTCATAAAAATGGTAATAATATTTTGAGCATATACTATATTTTATATTGCATTTAAAAAAAATAAAATTAATATTTAATTTTTAAAAATGGAAAATATTTTGAGAATATAATATATTGTATTTAATTTACTATTTAATTTATAAAATAAAAATAAATCGCTATTTAAAAAAATGCCTGTATAATAAATATTTTGAAAATATAATCTAATTGCACAATATTAATATAATTTATTTTATAATAAAAATTTTTAACAAAAGAAGATAATTATAATATTGTAAAAAAAATAATGAAAAATGTTGGATTAAAAACTTTCATGACTCAAGGTAAATATAATAAATGCAATAAATATTTGACAGTTTGCTAAAAAACCAGCATGATTGACGAAACCCTATACTCAAGAAAGATATTAAAAATTCACAAATTATCATGAAGAAAGAGAAGCATATCTACCTTTTCAGGTTGAAGATT